GATCAGACTATGTTAAGAAGATCAGAATGACAGACACAGAGAGACTAGAGAAGACAGAAAAGCTTTGTAAGATGCTCAGACTGAGTGTTATGAAGAGATTGACTGAAGAGTCTCTTAATTCCCTGTGAGAGAAGAAGAGAAAGAGAGAGAAGAAGCCTGTATAACTACTCTCTATAACACTGAGAGTCAACACTCTGAGAATCTTCATAAGAATTCTTGAAGAGAGTATCTATAATCTGAAGAATTTGCAGACTTTGAGAAGCACTGTGAAAGATCTGATGTAAGAAGAAATAGAGTATAAGTCTTTATAAAATCTTCTATTCAGATTGTCTGAACTGTAACTGAAGAATGAATATACTCAGTATATTCAGAAACTGCTTACAGCAGAGATTAATTCTGCAGAAATAAAGAATTGAAGAGACTTAAATAATCTCTTACAAAGAGAGAACTGAATTTATGTACCTGTGAATAAGTTTCTATGCATAGAACTTATTAAAAGATATCATGACTCTTCTCTAGCAGGTCATTTTGCAGACACTAGAACTCATGAGTTACTCATAAGAAAATACTTCTAACTGAAGATATAAGAACTTGTGAAGAAGATAGTGAATTCTTATACTGTTTATCAGAATTTGTAGATAGTATGATTCAGGTTATATGAAGAACTTACTCCTCTACTCATCTCATGAAAACCTTGAGAATAGCTAGAAATGAATACTCTTGTAAGTCTCTCTGAAAGCAAGAACATATATAATGTCTGCTTTGACAGTGTGCTGATGATAGTGAATTACTTTATCAAGATAGCACACTTTATACTCACTCATAAGAACTTGAAGTCAAAGAATTTAACTTACATCTTTATCTACAATGTAATCTGATTGCATGAATTGCCTGTAAACATTATCTCAGATAGAGAATTAATCTTTATAGAAGAGTTCTAATCTGATCTGATAACTATACTAAAGATTTTATGAGATTTAAGTATGACTTTTCATCAACAGATAGATGATCAGATAGAATATCTGATAAGTATATTAAAACAGTATCTGTAGTGCTTTATCAATTACAATCAGAATAACTGAGTATATTGATTATTACTCACAGAGTTTATATACAACAACTTAAAGCATGTCAGCACAGATAAAATTCTCTTTGAGATACTCACTAAGACTTATTCATGAATAATCTTGATAAACTCATGAGAGTACACTATAGAGTGTGATAATGTCTGTGAACAGACTGAGAGAATTCAGAAGATTCAGAAGAAAGCCTGCAAATTCTTGAGAAAGACTCAAGAGTATCAGAAGAGATACTATGACTTCAAGCATATTATAAAAAGTTTTAAGAAAGATGATAGAGTCTGACTGAGTCTAGAAAACATTATCATATGAAGATCTAGTAAGAAGCTGAATCTCTTATGAACAGAGTCTTATAAGATTATGAAGAAAGTTAACTTGTAGTTCTACAGATTAAAACTGTTATCTGAGTTACAGATATACAATATTTTTCATATCTCTTTACTCTGTAAATATAAGAAATTCTTAGAAGAGAACTCTGTGACTCATCACTCTATCTGTAAAGCACTAGAGAATGAAAGAGAATATCAGATTAAAGAGATTATTGACTCAGAGAAGTGAGATCACAAGCTCTAATTCAAGATTCAGTGATAAGAGTATTCTGACAAGATGAATGAGTTCACTTAAGAATTATTCAGACAGATAAGATATCTACAGAAGCTGAGACATGACTTTTATACTGCAAATTCTGATAAGTCAGAATGATATGATCTTCACTAAGAACCTGATTATAATAAAGCTATTAACACTGTCATTTACAAGTTCTAGTCTATAAGATAATGAGTTTTTACTGAGATGAACAGTCTGTGATATATACAAGAAAAGAAGAAATCATGCTCTCATTAAAGTTAAAAAATAAGAAAACAAAAACAGGACTGTGAACACAATTTAGAGATTAATAAAGAAAAAATAAAGAAAACTCAAATTCACACTCTCAACACTCATGACACTCAATTCTCTCATAACTATCAATTTCTCTCTTCAAAGAAGCAGAGAGTATTATATCTATGATACAGACAATTATTACATTTGACATGAAGACTGTTAGAAATGCACAGACTTCAGAGAAGTCAGACATCAGAGTGTATGCAGTTATAACAGAGTCTTGAGAACTGACTGTCTGTGTGTGTGATCAGATATCTCTTACAAAGCTGTGTCTGCTTTCTCAGTTATGCTGAAGTATTCAGCCTGAAAACAATTAAGATGTGAAGAGAGAGCTCATCTGCTCAGATTCACTTCTGTTATAAATTCATGACATTTGTATTATCTTAATTATCTGGATTTTATGAGTATCTGAGAATCTATCTCTCATTGATAATGAAATTGCAGAAATGCACTGCAGTGTGAGAATCATTGATGAGAAATCTAGGCATTTTTGCATATATCTGATTGAAGATTGTGTGAACAGAGAAGAAGTGATCATAGACTTACAGAGCTGTAGAAGACACTGATAACATCAAGAGCTTTACAAGAACTGTCAGCTAGAGTCTGTAAGAAATTACTTATGAGAAGACTTACAGCAAAGAGAGAGACTGCACTACTTGAAGTCAGAAGCTGATCTGAGAGAGGCATGAGATTAGCTGCTGACTCAAAGATCAGATGCAATAACAGAGCTGAGAGAGATGAAGACACTGTTATAAGTGATAATACTCCTGCTTCATCAGCCAGTAAAAAGTGATCAGAGAAGTCACAGAGATACTCATAAGAAGCTCAGTGATAATCAGACATTGTTTGTAAAGATATTGAAATTGAAAAATTTTTATTCTTAAGAAGTTCTTGAATCAATATACAGATATTGTCAGAAACACTCTCTCTCTATCATCTAAATAAAAACACTTCACAGATGAATAAGAATACTCACAGTTTATAAAGATAAGAGCTGTTATAGAAAAAGAGAAAAGAAGATGAGATTCTGTGAACAGATCTGAAATATTTATACTACTCTAGAGAGATTTACTTACACTGTGAGTGATCTCATAGAACAGTCAGATCACTCTAGTAAATAAGAGTGATTATAAATCACAGATCTGAATCTTTCTATGTGACTATAAAGAGTAATTGCAGACTGTAGATATCTTGATTCTACAATTCTACAGAGTTAATGAAAGAATGAAAAATTCCTCACAATTCTACAGTGTCAAAGAACAATAATTTATAAGAATAAGTGAAAGATTAACTTATGAATACTTCTCTTTAATAAGAATAATCTCACAGAGAGTAATTCATCTATAAGATGAATCTGTATAATGATTACATAAGAATCTTATAAAAATAATTAAGAGTCAACTGAAATTCTTCTATATGAAAGATATGAGATGAATCTGTATGATAGTCAGAGAAGAATCTGTAGATTATAAAGAATCTCATAGAATAAGAAACTGAGTGACAGACTCTTTTCTCTTTATAGTAATAAGAGATTTTTCCTCACTGAGATTTTTTATAGATATGAAGAGTTTTTAGTGAGTATCACTGCAGTGCTGAGCTGATTCTATGAAATCACTCAGTGAAAGACTTCACAGATGAAGTCTTAGAGAGAAGAGAATATATAAGAAATCTCACTTCTCACAGATTCTTTATCTCTATTTCTATCTCTTATATAATCAATAGAGCTAGCAGCTCTTGGCTACACATAACTATATAGACTGGAGTTTGTAAATACTATTCATAACTCAGCTTGAATGTTATTATACATTTAATCTCTACATTTTATCTTTCTACTGTGAATACTTCTAGTAGTTAACAGTACATATCATGCCAAGCTGCAAACATCTGAATAATCGCCTGCGAGCACTTATTCTTACATAATCTTTGAGACAAGTATATGACTACTGACAGAATCAATCAGATAGCTAACTTTTAAGTCTGAAGGCTGAAGGCACCCCAGGTCTGAACCTCTGAAGAGGATAGAAAGTAGCTAAACAGAAGAAGTTTCCAGTTACAGAAACTCACTGAGAATGACCAGGCAGTGCACTGTGTTGAACATTCAGACAGTATTCAATTGCCTTCACTGAGATTTTCAGAGAATGATCCGCAGCAGGGCCGGGCTTCAACCTGCAAGGAGAAGCCTGTCTGCCGCATCAGTTTCTCTGATGAAGGATCACAGTCTCAGACACACTGATAAGCAGCGGCTTCTGAAGCTGACTTTCTCCCTGGAAATCTGATTCAAAAACATTCACTAGCAGTTAACAATTGACAGATCTCAACCAGAACTGGAGCCCATGAGGAACTCTGGGATTTCAACACCCGCTGCGAGACCCGCTTCTCCGGAATGAAGAGAAGAACAGGTGACAGCAGGTGCTCAAGCTCACTGTGAATTGAAGGGCTCACTGGGTTCTCTGATGATGTTCTTAACCATACATGAAAGGCTCTATCTGACATGGAACTAAGAGTGTTTGATGGACAACTGTGGAGGATTGAGAAAACCGGGGGTCAAGAGGTTTAAGAGCTCATAGAGTACAAGCCGCTCAGGTGTCCCTCTCCACTGCTGTCAATCTCGCCGCGATGTCATCTGTAGAGAAGCACATGAGCTTCTTGTCTACACACACTCATCAGATGCTTCTCAGGTTGTCTTCTGCCAGACTGAGCTCCTGGTACTGAAAATGACAGTGAGGGGGATGATTTTCCATGAGAAAATAGAAGAAACTGGGCCATCTCAACATAGGAAACAGGCAGGATTTTTCCATCATTGAGCCTGAAAAAGTGGGACTTGGTTGTTTTACTCTATTGCCATAGTCACCGGCGTGGGATACATACGGCCCTGTCTATCCAGCTAGGACTGTGGTCCGGCCGGAGCACACGAGTGGCAACATCTCTGCAGGGCATCAGAGATGCACTGTGTCTTCATCACAGCCGGACTTTGTTCCTGGTCAGGAGGTTTTCAGGTTCACTCCACACTCTGTTAACAGTCTCTGAGAGCATCACGCGATGTTCCAGCCTCTTGCTGACACTTCTCACCCACCAGCTGCTCTCACACTACTGTCTGAGTGTGTCATCAGACAACTCTCCCTCTCCAGAGCATCAGCCCAGTCAAAGGTTCAGACACTCAACTGTACCCTGGTAAACAGGCACCCGGGGCGTGACCCAGTGTTGCACACTTTTGCAGGGAGCCCTTCGCGCTGGGCTGGCCCGCGCCGGTGTAGACAGGTCAGAGAACTACACTCTCTGATTAAGAGCTTTAACCAGACTGTTCTGAAAGCCCCTGGGTACATCAAGGCCAGCTTCGGGCGCCGCGCCGGCCCGGACCACTTGTCCAGCTGGTTTGAACACTCACTTGCGCGCTCGCGCCTCTGGCCCGGGACTACTTTTAACCCGCCCTGGCTAAAGATGCCTGGAGCATCACACATCATCCCGGCCGCACACCTCTGGCCCGGGCTTCTTCCGCGGTTAAGGCTTTTAACTAGTTCTGATTAAACATCACTGACACACCATTTGAGTTCCCTGCCTCCCGCCGGTGACATCATGACTACACTCACAAACATTATATCTATCTTCAGACAGGTGTATATCTCTGTGAGTATGAGAATTTTCTAATTTTGCATATCTGAAATTGACAAATGTATAACAATTAGCTTTACAGATACTAGGAAAACTCTGAGAACTAAAAGTTTTCAGATAGATATCATAGTCTCTGACTGCATACATCTATAATGGAAGAATAATGCCCCGGTGACCGAATAGTTAATGCGGCCACTCAGTAGCGCCTTGGCGTGGGAAACTAAGGCGTGTGGGTTCGAAACCCGCAGGGGATACATTAAATCCAGAACTCAAGCATCTCAGGTTTCTAATAAATACAGAGGTGTACAAATCGCTTCAATAAATTGCTCTATGTTCCTGGGCTGGGAAGTTATTATCGCATGTATCTAATTGTCACTCCTTTGTATTTCCTATGTTCTTGTTATCTTGACATGGTCTCAACACCTGTATTTCCTCCTGTATAACTAACACTTGACCTGTATTTAACATCACGCAAGGACTCATCATAAGCTCTGCTTGCATATAAGTATAATGGAAGAATAATAATAATAATAATAATGAAAGAATAATAATAATAATAATGAAAGAATAATAATAATAATAAGTATTTATACGTATGTATGTATATATGTAAAATATCCTTCTCTTGCGGATATACTTGAGTAGACAGCAGTGACACTCCGCAAATATAGAAAGAAGAATTGAGATATAGCTTTAACTGACTGATCAGAGAAGTGTGTTTGAAGCAGTTCTATTATTGAGAACTGTCTAAGCATGTCAAGTGAGGTCTTGTCACCGCATTTATCAAGACATTAACATTGCCATGCTGGACTATTACCTTCTCTAGACACCGGGCACTGCGCCCGCTGCGGACTGCTCTAGTGACTCTCCGGCCGTCCCCCGCGCCCGCACCTCCGGCCCGGCCTGTTTCCCCGGTTAAGGCCCTTAACCACACTTCGTTAAAGACCCCCCCGGAGCGTCACGTGATATCCCGGCCCTCGCGCCCGCCCCCTGGTTTAATCTTAAGCACACCCCCAAGCGCATTTGTTTCCCGTGCTTCTAACCTATTGAAGCTCCCTGCACCAGCACTCTGAACCGGGCCGGTTTATTGCTCAGACATGCTCTTACCCGGGAAAGCTCCTTGCCAATCTAAGTCCGCTCTGCGCTTAGATTTAATTCTAAAGATAGTAATATTGATTGTATCTAAGACTCTCTAGTCAATAATGTAGTGCATCAGCCAACAAGAGAACCTTTGTGTTCACGTGACATAATTCCCCCACTTCACTCAGCCCTCTCGAAGGCTCGATCGCAGCGCGATTCAAAAACGGCGGGGTGCCCGCCTGCAGCCGAGCAGAGACATCAAAATCACATGAAATTTGCTCGGGATAGAAAACTAGATGACCAAAGTCTAAGAAAGCTTTCTCCTAATCATTATTTAATAATACTGTTAAGGTCTTCCGGGAAAGGAGATTAACTACATGTATAGCGAGATTAGTGAAACAAAATCTAGGAAACTATAGAGGCGCAGATATTCCAAAGTACAACGGAAAGTATCAATCACAACACTGGGTTAAGTCGCGGAATAAAGAATTCTACAACGATGACTCCGCATTACCCTCAAATAAAGCCTTGACCCTTTGAAGCTCTTTGCTATAGTCATCATTCGTCAATTTCCTATCCTTTCTCGAGTTAGTAGACACGGAGGATAGAGGATTCCGTATAGTCGATCGCTCCAAGTCTACTATGACCACACGTTGGCGGCTTAGGTCCCACAGCATATTCCGCGGTTCCGCGTCACCGTGGGTAACTCCTTTAGAGTGAATGGCTTCGAGGGCATCTACCGTGGATCCCGCGACCGCCGTGTGGTTCAGTTTCCTGTATTTCTCAATTGGTTCTCCTGCCCAACTTAGAAGTAAAATGTGGGTGTGGATTTTTTCATCATAGTAATAGGGGCGCCCCGGCGCCAGTTTCACTAAACCAAGACAGACCGGAATGCATTCGCCTTGGAGATCTCGGAGCTCATTGTAGACCTTCATTTCATGTCGGAGTTTATGCTTATGCTTGCATTCCACGGCCTTGGCGACCAAGGTGTATCCATGCGATGAAAGCCTCACTTTGAGCAGCGCGCCACAACTTCCTGCCTTGTAGAGTGGACAGCAGTCAGCGTCTGGGCCACGATCTGTGGCAAGTTGCTTCTGGACAAGAGCACGGAATTCGCCTGCCTTGATCCGGTGCTTCCTGTGATCCTCGTAGTTGGAGCATGTGGGATCAAGAGGGGTGTTGTCCCTAAGCGCAAGGAGACATCGCTGAGAGCAGTATGGGCGAGTCTTGATGGTCAGTGTCTCAATAGCATTGGGCATCCGCTGGGTGCCCTCCCCATGTCCTGGAGTCCCTCTGGGCTTTGCAGACTGGATGTGACCTCCCCTTCTGGCTCGGCCACGGGGCCCGGAGTGCGGTGTAAGGGAAGGGGATGAGGGAGGAGACGGCGAGGGGGAGCTTGTCGGTCGGGGTTTGTTTTCAGAGGGCCGACATCCGGATCGCAGCGTCATCCTGAAGGGAGAAAGATTGTGAGGGCGTCTGCCGCGGTATAATGGGGAGGCATGTTTCAGGCGAGCGGCAGGTGGAGTCTGGTCTAGGATGTCGGAATACTCCACGGGCCAGATATCAAGCTCATCAGCGGCATCGCTCCACTGCTGGGGAACTGGTGGCGAGGTCAATGCTCTGATGGTGAATGCCAGGACCTGCGCGACGGCTGTCCCCTGGAGATCATCATCGTCGGTCCCCTTGACATCCCGACCCGGTATGCAAAGCGCACACTGAACTGAAGATGGATCGTCTGGGATGTACACAAAGATGAAGGCTTCTCCGGTGCAGACGTAGCCGTATCGTACGCATTTGTGCACCATGTAGGAGAAGAGCTGGGTGATGACCGCGGCGACAAGTCTTCTACAGCAGAAGGTAACATCCTCAGACTCCTGATTGATCACATCCCGGGCGGGTCGGATCTCTTCCCTCAGTCCTGTGGTCATCTCGGCCTGCGTGAGTTTGTGAGGCGCCTTATATTCGATCGCGATGGCGGGGATGTGATCATCGCCATCCCGGCGGTAGATACAGAAGCGATCCGCTTGCCCTCTTGTGACTGTGGCGGACTCCTTCTTTTTCTTCCGACCTCTACCCTTAGCTTTGGCCGATGGTGCAGTCTCTGAGTTGATTGACAGGTTCTCCCCCCCTTCACTCAGCGAGCTCTCCTGTGGACGTCCTACATTTGTATGGCTATTGAAGGTGATTGAGCCTCGCAGTCCAAATGCCTCTTTGAGACTTACATCTTCAGTGATCCGGTCGACGATATTGCGAACCTGGTTCTCCACCGTCTCTCGTTCATAGTATCGAAGATCCGATTCCGCAGTGATCGGGCTGAGGACCTTGCAGACATACTCAAGCTGATGTTTTGACGGAAACTGCTTTTTCATCAGAAACAATGGATGATCATTGAGAATCCTCCAGACTGCCTCCTGCCTAGCAAAGAACTTGTCACATATTATGATGCGCGAAGGAACCCTCCGATTAGCTGGCTTGGTTACAGTACCCTGGGTGGTTCTTGTCGGGTCTGTCACGATGCGGATTGCGAGTAAGAGCTCATGGCAGTTACAGAGAAAGGGTAGAAATGTGGTAAGCTGGGTATCTGCAGTAAGGCTCTCTGCTTCTTCGCGTCGTCGCTGTTCCTCTTCGCGTCGTCGCTGTTCCTCTTGTCGTAGTCCTCTTTCCTTTTCCGCCTGTGCTTCCGCAATTTCTCGTAGTCGTTTCTGTTCTTCGAGTTCAGCCAGTAGCTGTTGTACTCGGCTGTCCATTCTGTGACGCCGTTCCTACCAGGCCAGGGCAGGCAAGATGTTGAGTTATAAACCTTCGCTATGACTTATTCTTGGTTAGAATTTAATAAGGAATTTTAGAAGTCCTTGGTGCAAGGGTAGCAGCACGCTGTTTATTAGGATCTTAGAGTAGTTATTTATTATTATGATCATTTGACACGCTGTCGTTCGGAAGATCGTGCGGCCGCCGGATAATAATGTGGCCGCGTCCGAATACGCTTACGAATCAGGAAGCAGAAAAGGTTGGCCGTTACGGCCGTTGCGGCTATTGGCTGCGGTGATCTCCCTAGATCGCGTGACCCACCACTATATTCCTTACGGGAAGAACGTAGGGTTATTACACAACTGGATTATGGTTGTTTCACCATTTCAATCAGTGAGATCATCAAGCTGTAAATCATAGTATAATGATGAATGAATGATGAAATCACTGTAAATAAGTGATAAACTGAAAAAATCAATTATTATATTAATAATATTACTGAATTTAATCTATATAATTACTAATTCTAAAAACTGTCTTATTTATTCATCAGTATTATTCTCTATTAGAAATTATAAACACTTCTATCTAAATTCTCTCAAATTAATTAAACTAAGTTTCTAGTCTTTATTTCTAGTTATATTACTCTCATTAATCATATCACTAAACTGATAAATTAAGGTTTACAGATTAGTTATAATCTGAAAAACACTGTTATCAGTTATCTGATATTTAAGAGTTGAAATTTCAGAGTGATTAGATACTGAGTATTTAAAAGTCTATATAATTATTAATCTCTGAATAAATCTGAGAATTATTTCATTAACTCTAGCTTACTGTTTCAGTGATTATTTTATAAGTCTGAGAACTCAGAATATTTATCAAGATTAGAAAATTAGAGAAGAAGAGAGAGAAAGAATTAGTAGTAATAGTAGAGAGATTAATAAGAATTGTAGAGAGAGAAAGAGAATTATCACTAATACTATTATTCAGAAGATTATGCAGCTGCTGAATAATAATGTAGCTGCATCTGAATACACTTATGAATTAGAAAGTAGAAAAGATTGACTGTTACAACTGTTACAGCTATTAATTATGATAATCTCTCTAGATCATGTGATTCATCACTATATTTCTTACAGGAAGAATGTAGAGTTATTACACAACTGAATTATAATTATTTCATCATTTCAATCAGTGAGATTATCAAGCTGTAAATCATAGTATAATGATGAATGAATGATGAAATCACTGTAAATAAGTGATAAACTGAAAAAATCAATTATTATATTAATAATATCACTGAATTTAATCTATATAATTACTAATTCTAAAAACTGTCTTATTCATTTATTAGTATTATTCTCTATTAGAAATTATGAACACTTCTATCTAAATTCTCTTAAATTAATTAAACTAAGTTTCTAGTCTTTATTTCTAGTTATATTACTCTCATTAATCATATCACTAAACTGATAAATTAAGGTTTATAGATTAGTTATAATCTGAAAAATACTATTATTAATTATCTGATATTTAAGAGTTGAAATTTCAGAGTAATCAGATACTGAGTATTTAAAAGTCTATATAATTATTGATCTCTGAATAAATCTGAGAATTATTTCATTAACTCTAACTTACTGTTTCAGTGATTATTTTATAAGTCTGAGAACTCAGAATATTTATCAAGATTAGAAGATTAGAGAAGAAGAGAGAGAAAGAATTAGTAGTAATAATAGAGAGATTAATAAGAATTGTAGAGAGAGAAAGAGAATTATCACTAATACTATTATTCAGAAGATTGTGCGGCTGCTGGATAATAATGTAGCCGCGTCTGAATACACTTACAAATCAGAAAGCAGAAAAGGTTAGCTATTACAGCTGTTGCGGCTATTAACTGTGACTAGACTGACTGTGTGACCGTGTCTGAGACCAGAACCAGATTTTTTAATAGTTCTATTATCAATTCAACTGATCTCATTACACAGTTTTAATATTAAATAGTTATTATTATTATTATTATTCTTCCATTATACTCATATGCAAGCGGAGCTTATGATGAGTCCTTGCGTGATGTTAAATACAGGTCAAGTGTTGGTTATACAGGAGGAAATACAGGTGTTGAGACCACGCCAAGATAACAAGAACATAGGAAAATACAAAGGAGTGACAATTAGATACATGTGATAATAACTTCCCAGCCCAGAAACATAGAGCGATTCATTGAAGCGATTTGTACACCTCTGTATTTATTAGAAACCTGAGGTGCTTGAGTTCCGGATTTAATGTATCCCCTGCGGGTTTCGAACCCACGCGCCTTGGTTTCCCACGTCAAGGCGCTACCAGGTGGCCGCATTAACCATTCGGCCACCTGGGCAATATTAAATAGTAGTCTTATACTGTTTCAGTGAGACTTACTGTCTACTCTTATCACATTTTTCAAATGAGATCATGATTTTCACTTCTCAATTTAAATTATTTTTATTGCTTTAAATGACTTTAAATCTCATTTGACTGTTATCAAAAAGCATTACTTTTTAAAAAATTAAAAATAGTCTAAAAAAAACCTTAAAATGTCTAAAAATAGTAACTTTATATCAAGAATGAAACTAAATGAGATTAAATGAAATCACTTTCTTATTTTTTTCAAGTCATAGTTTCACTTTAAGATCTGATATATAGTCACTTTACATGTTTTTTTAATAGTCAGTCCCAGCGGAATTCACGTCAAGAAATGTATGAGATCAGACTAAATGAGATTAAATGTGAAATTTATGATTTCAGTAATCAGTCTAGCTGTGATAATCTCTCTATTATTATTATTATTATTATTCTTCAATTATAGATGTATGCAGTCAGAGACTATGACATCTATCTGAGAACTTTTAGTTCTCAGGGTTTTTTCTATGTCTGTAAAGTTAACTATTATACATTCATCAATTTCAGATATGCAAAATCAGAAAATTCCAGCTCAGAATACAAAAACTGTTTACAAATTGCAGTGTTTTAACATCTTTTAATACTTTGAAATCATTTGACAATATCATGACAAAGGAAAAGAGAAAAAGAACACAGTCTCAAAGATAGACACATTAAATAGATAGATAGAAAGAAATTGAAAGGAAAAGATAAAGAAAAAGATAAAGTAAAGAGAGACTATAACAAAACAAATTATTAAAAGAGAGTGTATAGCTGTTTTAACAGACTATATCTGATTGATTTCCTCCTCTTCATATTCAGATAATTCTGAATTTAGCCATTTTCTTATAGCTGCTTGAGTTTCTGATAGAAAGTCTATTAAGTATTTAATTCCTATCTCAGTTGAGAATAAGAATCTTATATTTAATTGATTTAGATCATACTTCTCTTTCAATCTGGCTCTGAGACTATTGTATAATGCACAGTGCATTACAATATGCTCAGAATTCTCATTTGTATTGCAGAATGAGCATTCTATTGAGTCAAATCTATCATCAAATCTTTGTATATAAGATTTGAAATAGCCATGTCCTAGTTTCAGCTGTATTATAGATGAGAATATTTTCTTTTTACATTTAATTGAACAAGATTTCCACTTGGGTTTTGTTTCAAATCTTGAATAATGTATACTCTTCTTTTGTTTCTGCCAGCTTTCATTCCACTTGTCTAAACAAGATTCTTTTATTTTTCTCTTTATAAAAGACCAGGACACAATTTTTTGAATAGATCTGCTTAATTCTGCACCCTTTTTTGCAGCTGAATCAGCCAATTCATTGCCATGAATATTCATATGAGCAGGAACTCAGTGCAGATGAATTATCCGCTTTGATGTTCTTCTCTTTTGAATTTTCAAAACAGAGTTTAAGATCAGTTCAAGATTCATTTGATCATTATGAATCTGACTATTTCTAAGTCTTTTTAAAGCAGCTTGACTATCAGAGAATATTCATGCCTCTTTCAAACAATTTTCTCTTTTATGAGATTTTATTTCAATGAGTTTGAAAGCTTTCACTATTGCAAATAGTTCAGCATCAAAGACTTCACATTCAGAGCCTAGATTCCAGAAATCTGAGATAAAATTAATATTATCTTCAGTATAAGCAATGCCTGCGCCTAATCTATTCAAGTTCTCATTTTTTGAGTCATCTGAATAAATCAGAATAGAGTCTTTTATATTGATTGTAGAAATTCTCTTCAAATGCTGTTCATATTCTTTCTCTTTTGATAGTTCACTTATTTGTAAGTCTATAAGAGATTCAAGCTTTTCTCTCCAGAGAGATAACTTCTCATGATCAACTTTTTCAACATTTAAAGAAGAAAATTGATTTTTAATCAGAGAGCATAGTCTGTACAGTTGAGAAGGCATTTTCTTTGAAGAATTATTTTCATTCCAATCAAGAAATCTATTCCAATCCAGTTCATTTCCAGAGTTAATTGGTGGAAATGAAGAAGAGACTCTTTCTCTGATTATATGATTTGAGCTCATCTTTACAACTCTCAGAGCATAGTTCATACAGGCCTTTTCAAATCTAATAGTAGGAGGAGGAATTGAAGCTTCAATTTCCATTGCTTTAATAGGAGATGATTTGAATGCTTTCAGAATTCTTCTCAAGGCTCTGTTTTGCAGACTTTGAAAGAGTTCAGTGAAATTCCCTTGATTATTTCATCAAACTTGAACTCCATAATCAGCTACTGATGTAATACAGGCTATATATAACTGTCTCATAGCCTGGAAGGATAGACCTCTCTCTGTATTTGATAGTCTGATTATGTTGTTCAATAGTCTTTCTGCCTTGACAGTTCTTTGTTGAATGTAATATTTAAAATTCAACTTGGAGTTTAACCATACTCCTAATCATTTGACATTTACACTGGGTTTAATCTCTCTATTTAAAAGAGTTAGAGATAGTTCTTTCTCATTGAATCTAGGAAAGAAATGAATTAACTCAGTTTTATTCATATCAAATTGAATTTGATTGATATCTGCTCTAACAAAGATTTCCTTTGCAGCTTCTTCAATTACTTTCAAATTCTCTTTGATAGTTTTTGAGCTGTAGACTAGATCAATATCATTCACATAACTCAGAGATCGCACTATTCTCATATTTCTATTTTTGAATAGATATGCAGTGTATATTGCAAATAAAATGAGTGAGATTGAAGATCCCTGTGATACTCCTATTTTTATCTCAGTCTTGTCTTGTTTCATTCCATCAAAGAAGAGCTGTATAATTCTTTTAGACATAAAACAGTTAACTCATTTTATTAGAGAAAGTGGCAGTTTTAATATCTTCAATGTCTGAATTAACTTTGACTTTGAAACATGATCAAATGCTCCTTTTATATCAATAAAAACTGCAGTTGAGACCAGACCCTCATGCTTTGCTATTTGAATATCATGAACAACTGAGAGAACAGTGTCAATTGCAGAGCACTGTTTTCTACCTCCCATTTGTTCGCTGAATAAAAGAGAATCATCTATAGAGCTTATAAAAGATAGTCGAGTAGCTATTATCTTTTCTAAAACCTTTCCTAGGCAGTTCAATAGAGATATTACTCTATATAACTTAGGAATTGAAGTTTTTCTATTAGGTTTTGCAAGAATCACTCCAGTGGCTTCTCTCCAGCATTCAGAATAATATCCATTTTTCAAGAGATTGAAAAAGAGCTCAAAATATTCATTCTTTAAGTAGGAATATGTATTTTGAATAATCAAGTGATTAATTGAATCAGGACCTGCAGCAGTTTTAACAGAACTTGAGAAGATAGCTGACTCTAATTCATCTTGTGTAAGATCAGGCCATTCCCAGTCATTTTCATCAATGTAGTTGAGAAGTGATATATTCTCTTCCTCTGAATCTGAATCTGAATCTGGTGAGTTCTGAAAGAGAATTCTCATGAAAGCTTGATATTTTTTCTCAAAAGAGTTTGCTGTATATGATTCATTCTGAAACTCATATTCTAAGGCTGGAAGTTTTGCTACACTTCTTGTTTTAGTATAGTTAAAAGCTTTAAAAACTTCCTTCTCTTATGCTTCTTCAAGAAATTTATTCCAGCAGTCTGTTTTAGCTCTTTTAATATCTGAAAAATATTCATTTCTGACAGCTTTGAACTCTTTATCAGAAATTATATCATTCTTTCAATCTCTTCTAGTAGTAGCCAATTGTTTCCTTTTAGATGTGATATTCTCATTCCACCAAGGTTTTGAATACTCAGAAGATTTTCTTTTTGAAATATTATCTCTAACACTTGTTAGAATAATAGATGTAATAAGCTTCACTCTATTCTCAAGCATTTCATTTGAGATATCTTGACCAGAATTCCAATATAGCTCATTCTGTCTTTCAGATTTTAACAGTTTTATGCTTTCTTCAACTGCTTTCCAATCAGCTTTTTCAAAGTTATACTGATTAGAGAGAAGAGGATTTTCACTCATTTGTTTTTCACTCAGTTCAATATCAAATTGAATAATCTCATGACCTGATTCTGATGTCTCATTTGAATCAATAAACCAGTTTACAAGTCTTCTTTCCATTAGATTTTGTGACATGAAGGTTAGATCTATAATAGACTTCTGTTTCATGCCTTTTCTAAAGAATGTTTGTTGATCAGACTTATTAACCAAATCTATTGAATGCTCAAAGGTTCATTCAACTAGATTATTAGCTCTCACTGCTCTCTTGCATTCTGATTGATAATCTCTCTAGATCGCGTGACTCATTACTATATTTCTTACAGAAAGAACATAGAGTTATTATATAACTGAATTATAATTGTTTCACTATTTCAATCAGTGAGGTCATCAAGCTGTAAATCATAGTATAATGATAAATGAATGATGAAATCACTGTAAATAAGTAATAAACTGAAAAAATCAATTATTATATTAATAATATCACTGAATTTAATCTATATAATTACTAATTCTAAAAACTGTCTTATTCATTCATCAGTATTATTCTCTATTAGAAATTATGAACACTTCTATCTAAATTCTCTCAAATTGATTAAACTAAGTTTCTAGTCTTTATTTCTAGTTATATTACTCTCATTAATCATATCACTAAACTTGTAAATTGAGGTTTACAGATTAGTTATAATCTGAAAGACACTGTTATCAGTTATCTGATATTTAAGAGTTGAAATTTCAGAGTGATCAGATACTGAGTATTTAAAAGTCTATATAATTATTAATCTCTGAATAAATCTGAGAATTATTTCATTAACTCTAGCTTACTATTTCAGTGATTATTTTATAAGTCTGAGAACTCAGAATATTTATCAAGATTAGAAGATTAGAGAAGAAGAAAGAGAAAGAATTAGTAGTAATAATAGAGAGATTAATAAGAATTGTAGAGAGAGAAAGAGAATTATCACTATTAATAGATTTCTTATCACTACTAGACTGGCCGCCAGAATCATGAATTTCACATTTGATTTCATTTAATCTGATTTCATACATTTCTTGACGTGAGTCTCACCAGGACCAAGCCTCAAAAAAATCTGAAAATGAATTATTTCTGAGAGAAATGATGTGAAAAATGACCAGATTTAATTCAAGAACAGTGAAATGAAAGTAATTTCTCAGAATAAACTGTGAAAGATGATTATTCTTTCAAAATCAGAATGAAACTGAGACTGAAGATTAAAATCAGTCTTATTCAGTTCATTCGGTGATTGCTTATATAATCAGAATTTGATAATGATTATTGATAATGCTCATGAAATAACTAAATACATTCTTATATAAGTTTATTCTTCACTTTCTTATGAAAACTACACTTCTCTGATATACTGTAATCAGAGGTATTAAACTGTCTGATAATTTCATGTTTTACAATCATGAGTTTCTTGATTGTTTCTTCTTGTAATTATTTCTGATAATAGTGATAAATATCTTAGCTTGAGTTGAACTTTCACTTCATTCTTACCTCTATTAATGAAATTATCAGAATATCACATGTCATCAGTGCAACAGTTGAATATATACTCTTAAACTGACCAGCAGAACCATGAATTTCACATTTAGTCTCATTTAATCTGATTCTATACATTTCTTGATGTGAGTTCTACCAGGACTAAGCCTCAAAAAAATCTGAAAATGAACCATTTCTGAGAGAAATGTCATGAAAAATGACCAGATTTAATTCAAGAACAGTGAAATGAGAGTAATTTCTCAGAATAAACTGTGAAAGATGATCATTCTTTCAAAATCAGAATGAGACTGAGACTGAAGATTAATATCAGTCTCATTCAGTTCATTCAGTGATTGCTTATATAATCAGAATTTGATAATAATTATTAATAACACTCATGAAACAACTAAATACATTCTTATACAAGTTTATTCTTCACTTTCTCATGAAAACTACACTTCTCTGATATACTGTGATCAGAGATATTAAACTGTCTGATAATTCTATGTTTTACTATTATAAGTTTCTTGATTGTTTCTCCTTGTAATTATTCTCAGTGATAGTGATAAATATCTTGACTTGAGTTGAACTTTCACTTCATTCTCACTCCTGTCAATGAAATTGTCAGAATATCACATGTCATTAGTGTGTGATTCGGAAGAACATACAACTGTCGGATAATAACACGGCCGCTTCCGAACTAGTGTATGAATGTAAAGAGGGTCATAGCAGCCACTAATTAATTTAGTGTATGATATTACAATATATAAGAAGCCGGTGTACACCTGTAATTATACACTGGCTTAAGCAACCTTTGAATCACATCTGATAGCATGTCTAAAAACCGGTGAGAAGCACAGACTTCTTCAGAGCATGATAATTCTGCCTACAAAGTGATTCATAGTTATCATGCCAGTGTGGTTCTAGAACATCTCAAAAGATAGCATATAAAGAGCAGTGAGTGAAAGAGCATTCAATTGATACTGCTTCACTTGTTGAGGGAAAACTTCATGCCCAGGCAAATGCCATGTATGGGACACGAACAGATGAGGTGTGAGAAAGGGAATAAAAGCAGTGAACCAGATTCAAAGAAGTCTGCTCTCTACTTAAAAGAAGAATAAAAGAGAGAAGTGATCATCACCAGAGTCATATAATGATAACAGAAATCATATAATGATATAGTGATATAACAATACAGTGATATAACAATAGATATCATACAATTAACAAGAAATCACTGAAATGAATACCTTTTCTAGTCAATACAAATAACACCCTTCTCTGCTATCTGAACTGGAAGGTATGCAGAACCTCTCAGAGAGTTTACTTAAAACAGTAAGAAAAGCAGCTGAAATCACTGAATCAGAATCAAAGCTTCATACACATACAAGAATTCTAAACAAGATCAAGGCCTTGTGTACACAGTGGCAGGCTGAGGCAGAAGTCAAACAACAATTGACATTCACTGCAGATCAAGCATTCACTATAAAGAGCTTCACTGACGCAATCACCATCATCAATAAGAATAGAAAAAACCAGATCTTAGGCCTGCAGCAGAAGATCAAATGTTTACACAGACAGGCAACTACACTGAATCTGAAGATCTCATCACAATCATTCACAATCTCTTTAGAAGTGTACACATTATCAGAGATCACTGCACAGAATGAGAATCTGAGCATGGAATATATCAAGCTAGAAGATCTGTCAGAGTCATTAAACTTCAATAATGACTGAAAAAATGATGCTGCAATCAGCTGGCTAAGTCAGATGCAATCATATTATCAGATTAAACATGAACTCACAGACAGACAGTCAACAGAATTTCAACAAGTCTTAAGATCTGCCGCGTTTCTACATGAAAAAGCAAAGTCATTATAAATAACTGATGAAAAGATGAATCTCACAGACTCAGAGCAATATTCATTTCCATGAACATGAAATGAGTTTTTCAAATGAATCTTACACAACTTTGAGAAAGTGAACACATAAGATAAGTGTTATGAACACTTCACTGAGTGTAGACAAGTGAGTGATTTTACATTATACTTCACACACTTCAGCTTACACTATCTCACATTGAATGAAGAGCTTTCAACATCTTTCTGTTTACAGATCTTCATTCATGATCTTACACTCAAGTTAAGAGTGGAATGAAAATGCTTAATCTCACAGTCAGGTATAGTGAAGAAAGCATATAATATTCTCATTGTATAAGAACAAGCAAGTCAATTGCAACAGAAAATACTGTAATCAAGTATATCTCAGTGAAGAACAAGTAATCAGATTTCTACAACACAAGTCACACACTCAGACATGATGAATCTAGATCTGAATGTCATCACTAAAGCACTGAATTCTCTGAAAAAGAGATCTTCTGAGTGAAAACCTTGATATTGTGAGCATTGAGCTTGCTTTAACTGTGAATGCTAAAATCATGATGCAAAAGATTGCACTCAGTATGCACAGTCAAGAGAAGTAAGAGAGTCAAAAAACTAGCAGAATCAGTGAGCTCAGAGACACTTGCTGATATTCTATAAAAAGTCTTCAAAGTGAAAGAGATGCCTGTGTTAGATGATTCTCTGAATTCTACAAATGCAAAGAAGAAGCAGGCTCTCAAATAAGGTGCAGGTAAGAATGATGAAGTGAACACTTCTCTCAATGTTTTAAGGCCTGAAATGTTAATGTATAGAGGGCACTTGAGTAAGAATTGAGAGATGACTGTAAAAGTGTTAGCAGACACAGAAGCTTCTACACAATATATTGATGATTATATAATTCAAAGATTAAAAGAGGTTCACTGAGTGAAGAATCTCTGATACATAAGATTATCTGATAACTGATATTTGATATTATCTGCAAGAGTAAGAGTTCCCTTGCACTTCAGAGAATGATCTTACTATATTTGAGCGCGAGAGCTGCAGAATGTGAAATATAACCTTATTCTCAGACTCAATTGATTTCAAAGGTTCAATCTACAGATTCAATGATGTACATGTCATATGCAGTTGACTGATAGGAAGAAAACAGTTCATACAATTCTATCAACTGATATGAGAAGAATATTCCACACCTCTGATATAGAAGAGTTAAATCTGCTTACACATTAATAAGCAAAGAGAATGATTCACAAGACCTCATTCAAAAGCATTCTGTATGTCATACAGGACTCAGAAGTGGAGGAAACTAAGATAAAAGATATACAGAAGAACAAGTGTATGAAGAAGCTTCTGAAGAAGTATGAAAAGATCTTCTGAACAGATCTTTCACTGAAATTGCTGCTGAAATGAGAATTTATACATGAGATTGACACAGAAGACACAAAACCAGTCAATCAAAATGCATACTCTCTGTCACAAACATATCTTGAAGAACAGAAGTATCAGATCACAGACCTTCTAGAACATGATCTCATACAACTCTTATCAAGCGCGTGGGGCTTTCCAGTTCTATTCATGAAAAAGACAGGTGAGAAGTGGCAGATGTGTATTGATTATCAAGCACTTAACAAGCTTATGATCAAGAATGAATATTCACTATCACAGATTCAACAACAGTTGAATACAGTCAGAAATGCCTGATATCTATCAAAGATCAATCTTCTCTCAGAATACTGGCAGATCTGCATAGATAAACTGTCAGTCCTGTGAATCATATTTAATATGCAATGAAGGAAGTTCAAATTCCTGGCAATATCATTTGATCTGACAAATGCACTCACTATCTTTCAAACAATGATGAATACAATTCTTCATAAACAGAATGAAACCTCATATCTTATATATCTCAATGACATTCTAGTCTTTTCAAACTCATACAACAAATATCTGAAGCATCTTAATAAAGTGCTTACAACTCTGACAGAGCATAAGCTCTACATTAAATCAATCAAGTGTGTGTTTGAAACAGAAGAGTTGAAGTTCATAGAATATGTAGTGAGTGATAACTGTATACACCTCATCTCAGAGAAATTGAATGTTATAGTGAATTGACTGTGACTGAGAAATGTACATCATGTACAACAGTTTCTTGAGTTGGTCTCATACTATCACAGATTTATCAAGGATTTTGCATGAATATCTGCATCACTCTCAGATCTCTTAAGAGAAATGGATGTAAATCTGTAAAAGAAGAAGTTTTATTCAATCATCTGAAATACTGTGTACAAAGAGGCTTTTCTCACACTGAGAGAACATGTAACAACATTCTCAGTGCTTATTCAATCAGATCATGATAAACCTTTCTACATCAAGACAGACATATTTAAATAAGCTATCAGAGACATTCTTCTACAGATGAGCAAGAACAGCAAGCTGCATCTGATGACATATAATAGTAGAAAACTATCAGACACTAAGCTCAATTACTCAGTGCATGAAAAGAAATTGCTAGCAATCAAGCACACACTGATATTGTGAAATAGATATATCAATAACAGGTATACAACAACAGTGATCACAGATCATGAAAGTCTCATCTATCTACAATTAATAATAAAATCTTTCAAACACTTAGCACATTGAATCTCAGAGTTTCAAGTGTACAATCTTCATATTAAATACTGAAAGGAATCAGATGCTGTAGTGCCTGACACAATCAGTCACAGATCTGATTTCATGAGTGAGAGTTCTGTGAATCAGGCACAAGAGATGTTTGTGTTAAACACACTGAGAGAATACAAGGAATCAGAATGAGTGAATGTCATAATCTCTCACTTGAAGAATGACAAGATATCAGATGATAAGCATCTCATAAAAGTAGTAGAAGAGATGCTTCTGAACTTCAAGCTGGGGAAATTGAAAAACAACATTGTGCTTTATCACAATCTAGAATACACAGAAGCTCTCTATCTAGAACCTCTATTTCAATGTGACTTGATGACTCACATGCACAAGGAATTCAGTCACTTAGAAAGCCCTGAACTCATGAGTGTACTCAAATCAAGAGTATACTGGCCAAGCATGGCTGAGGACATCCAGGCGTATACTCATGAGTGCCCGAATTGCCAGGTCACAAAAGGATCTAAGAAAGGGTTAGAACATGAGAAAGCACAACATCAGGTGAAGTATATAATACAACTGTTCAAATAATGGGGAATGAATCTCATAGACATATTGCTGCGAACATCAAATGGAAACTGATGAATAATCACTGCTATTAATTACACTACTGACTGGCCAGTTGCAAAAGCAGTTCCAGAGGTGACAGAGAAGATAATGACAAAGTTTCTACATGATGAGATCTATATCAACTATGAAATGCTGCGCGAGATTCTAACTGATAACAGTGCAAATCTCATAGAAGAAGTGATGAGGCATTTCATGGACCAGTTACAGACAAGATATTATAGAACAATGCTATATCATCTGCAGATGAACAGGAAGATGAAATGCTTGAATGAAATCTTGAGCAACATGCTGATGAAATATCTAGTGAGCAAGCCTATAAGATTATAAGATGAATATCTCAGTCAGGTGCTATTAGTCATGCAAATTCAGCAGCATGCAGTCTCCAAGTGTTCACCATTCTACCTGTTGTATGAATTGCATCCGCGCATCTCAGAGAATGCTTTGAAAAAGGTAGAGAAGGAAACAGCAGTTACAGATGCAGCAGTAGCAGTTGTAAATGCAACAGTCACAGACACAGAATTAAGATTGAAAGAGATCAGCTATGCACATGCAAAAGCTAATAAGTTACTTCTGAACTGAGCAATTCAATTGAAAAGAATATGAGACTCACTAGTTAAGAAATCAAGTCTCAAGATGAGAATATGAGTTCTCATACACAATGAGAGTTCTGAGAAGTTTCAACCTAGGTGATTTGAGTCATATAAAATACTCAAATCACATTCTCTGAGAATGTACACATTGAAAGAACCAGAGAGACAGATCTTACACAACTTAATAAATGATTCATAACTTGTGAAAGTAAAGATGTAAGACTCAAGTGAATTATGATTATCTACAGCACTATTGTCAGCATTGAAAAAGAAGAGGCTTACAATTGAAAAGTCTTATGAGATAAGAGAAATCATAGATACTTACAAATCAGATGATCTCACTTATTCTGATCTTTTCATAATTATAAGAAAAGAATGAGAAGCAATGAAGAAATCAGGTAAACATCACACTTTAATAAGTGATGAGACTGTAGCTGATCATACAATAACACACTGCAGATAGCAGATGTAACACAGTAAAGAGCAGTCTCAAAGCAGCAGACTTGCATGTAAGTCAGATTACAGAAGAAAAAGAAATTCAGAGTTGAATTTGACTATTTACACTAGTTCAATTGTGGAGATCACAGAGGACAAACTATCTGAAACATTCACAGACATGTGAGACCAAGTCATCTCAATCTCTGAGAATACTCAGAGATCAGATAAGATTAGTTTCAATGAGCTGTTCACTGTAGTGATCTGAGCAGGTGAAGAGAGACAGTATAATGCACAAGACAGAATCACAAAAGATGAAAGCTGTCAAATCTAGTCACTGAACACTGTATCATATAGAGGTCATGTAAGAGTAGTGACTAGCAGATAAAGAAAAAGCATAAGAAAAGAAAAGAAATAATGAATTAATTATCAACTGTAAGAGTCAGTCATAAAAGACAAATATTATTATACACACTTCATTCATTTTCATATACTACACATTTAATCTATTTCCAATGCCACGCCACCTGAAAAACATCAAAAACAAAGAAAATCTCAAAACTCAAGATCTGCAAGGGATTTGAGAGCTGCAAGCCGCTCTTGCAACAACATCACATACATCTTCAATTCCTCTATCACTCTGTATACAACATTAATGTCATTTATTGCAAGATTGACTGAAATGCCAATATAGAAATGTGTATGTGTATGTGTAGAAAAATTGAAGAAGAGCATGAGACTCACAGGACCAGAAGCCAGGGTAGAAAGAACAGAGGTGAAAGAAACAGAAGAAGGAGAAGACACAGAACTGAATAAACAGCAGTGAGAGTCACTCAGAGCTGAACACTTACAACCTGATATACACACAATCTTTCTCACAGAGAAGAGAGAGAAAGTGATGAAAGAAGCTTGAAGACAGAAGAGAATAGTCTCTGCAGTATTGTCATCTTTAATTAGAATGACCTCTGACATCAGAGCAACTAAGAATCATTGTTAATATATGAAAATTGAAAAATCAGGGATGAGAACAGTTACTGAATAAACACTCACTGACCTTAGAGTTGTACATGCAATTACAACACACATGAGGCTTCTCAGAAAGAGAGAGAGAGACACAGGAAAATGCAGAAAGCAGAACACAGCATGTGAACAGCTCATTCTCATAACAACATCTCAGACAGAGTGTATGAGCCTCACATCTGCAGGTGTAAAAGAGTATAACATTCACATTTCTAATCTTAAAAACACAGATATTCTTCACCTGCATCATGAAGTCAGATGACAGATGCCAGAGAATAGACTGATACAGATCTATTATTCTGAAGAAATTCATCAGAGCAGACATACTCATAATATTGAATTTAACAGTCATGAAAAGTTTCTTGATATCTGTGAATATCACAACTTCATGCATAGTAAAACTCATAATAATTTTCTCTAAGAACAGGAAAATCAGCATCAGAAAGAAAAGATGAAAAGAAAAAGACTTACAATCTTGACACTGTTGAAGAGAGAAATAATTCTCTGAAATGAATGAACAATTCTCTTATCATGAATATTTAAAATGAACATAATAATCAGTGTTCACAACTGAGCTTCAGATAGTCATGTTATACACAGTCTTTGTACAATAAATTGTTCTAGAAGTTGACAGGAAGGGTGAAAGCATACACACTGATAAACATGATTCATTAAGTCTACATAATATCTCCTTGAAACAGGGAGAGCTGATAATGAAAGCAGAGACAGCAAAATCAGAGAGAGCAGGAGTAGTGAGAGTGAGAGTCACAGGAACAGGAACAGAGATAGCAGAAGCGGGAGAATCAGACACAGAGACAGGTGTAGAAGATTGAGAGAGAACAGCAGAGAAAGAAACAGAGAGAGCAGAGAGAGACACAGAAGACTCAGTCATATATGACATAGACAATTCCTTTATTATCACATTCTTCAAGTTCTCAATCAATGATTCAACATCAGGTTCACTATCATCAGTGAATATGAATCTGTCAACATGTGAAGATTCTACATGAATAAAAACAAACATCAGCATCTGTGTTTATGCAAAATCATGTCAGAAAACATGATCAGAAACTCACTGAGAAGGAAACAGAAACAGTCAAGAGTATACAAGAAGATGAAGAGAGTGTGTTATTCATGATAATACATTCTGATAATTGTTAGAAGATAAACAAGTTCTGATCACATTTCACAATATGTTACACTTACTGTTAATGAACTGCTCAGTATGAGCACTACAATAATACTTATTATGAGAATAAGAGGCCATTGCCAGAAACACATACAATGTGATAGATGAACAGATAGAAAGAGTTGAACAGAAGAAGAGATAGAAATCTTGAATAAGATAGTAATATTCAATGATGATGATGATGAAGAAGATAATTGAAGAATAAGAAAAGTTAGTGAATGAGTGATATAATATAGTGAAAGTTTCTTTGTGAGAGTGTACACAGAATGCTAGCCGAATCAGAAATAGGCCACATGATCATAAAACACTAGTGGCAAGCTAATCCGCATGAAGCTAGAGCATACAACATGGTCACATGAGCGTGACTGAATCTGATGATGAAGGATGTGATTCGGAAGAACATACAACCATTGAATAATAACACAGCCGCTTCCGAACTAGCATACAAATGTAAAGAGGGTCATAGCGGCCACTAATTAATTTAGCATACAATATTACAATATATAAGAAGCCGGCGTACGCCTGTAATCGTACGCTGACTTAAGCAACCTTTGAATCACAAGTGCAACAGTTAAATATATACTCTCAACAATTTTTCATAACTCTAGAATTGATTTGATGTGTAAATTTATTGAATCATCTTGAAGATAGTGATCAAATTCAGTTTTACAAGCATGTAATTTTGCCTGATTTTCAGTTGCAATCAATGTATGCAAGTTCTGTTTCAAAGTTAGTATTATAGTTCTATGTAATATGAAGTGTTATCAAAGATCATTACTTACTAGAGAATTGTATTTCACTGTCTTCACATCTCAAACATCTGCTCATTCAAATCTCTGATAGTTGACATTGTAGTAGTCTCAGGCTAATTTAACATATGAGTCTTGTTTCTCCTCTGTTCAATCTTGAGAAGTGTAGATATTAACTTAATGAGAGAGATCTAGTAGAGCTGCTATAGAATAGTACTCTGTAAAAGATTGTTCAGTTTTGCTGTAGTAATATATCAGTTTATTTCTTACAGTAATAATAGCCTGTGCTATAGCATCATCTCAGACTGAATTTCTTTTTAAGTGATTCAACTGCTTCTCAAGATGAGTAAATAAACTGTTATACACTCATCAGGCTGACTGCAGCATTGATGTATGAGTGATTGAGACTGTCTTTATTGTCTTATAAAACTGAAACAGTAAATCAATCACATATTTCAACTGAGTTCACTTCATATTAGAAAGTTTCAATATCTGAATCTTTTCTCAATCAGAGTATTGCACTTAATAATCAATTATCTGATACAATCAAAGAGTCTGAACAGTTATCTCATATGTTGAACTTCACTGTGTTCTAACATTCTGTATCATATTCAGTGATGTGACTGATTTGTTTGTTTGTTGAATATTATGAAATTATTGTTGTTATTTAGAGAAGATACAAATCACATTAGCAATGTTTTGAATCTATGATATTTAAATTATTAGTCAATCTATTCAAAATTAACAGTAGTGTTATCAAAAAGCATTATCAAAAAACAATATTAAAAAGTGTTGTTAAAAAACATTATCTTTTGCAAAGTGAATGTAAAAGTTACTTGAGTAATCACTTTCATCTCATTCTCATCTCAAGAACCAGTTATCTCATTATTCTTCATCTCAATGTTAAGATTCTTTATCAGTGTTTGCATCACAAGTTGAATCACATGAGCAATGTAGGAAATATAACCTTGTTTATCATTCTAGAAATGCAAAGTCAATTTTTACTCTAAGCTCTTCATCATAGTGTAGTTATTCAAGGCATTGTTAGTTATAATTGTAAGAAGACTGAGACTAATATTTTAATAGTCATTTTTAATCACAGTTATTAATATCTCTGTTATATAATTCTCAGTATAACTACTGATCAATGATTTAAATTCAATTAATGTCTCTTGATAAGTTCAGTTCTCATCAATGTAATAATATATAACTCTCATAAATGTCAGATTGTTTGTACTAGTTCATGCATTCACTGTGAGAGACACTTTTCAATGATTCTTCAACTCTGATTCTAGATGTTGTATATTGACTTTGTAGTGTGTCTTGAGATTGAACTGAAGACAGAATTGATGTGAAATATAAAGATTTGAATTAAGCATTTGAAGAAGTGTTCAGAATTCAGAGTTTTCAATTGATTAAAAAGAAAGATTCAGAGATATACACATGCAAAGTAATTATTTACAGAAGTTATCAGATAAGAGTTATGAAATCGGAGTACTGATATGTGATCATTTTCACATGATTTCCTTCAAATTAGAAAGTTAGTGTTATTAAAAATTATTATCTGATAGAGTAACTTATCAGCTCAGTAGTAATCTTCTGATTATTTTTCTTTTATTGTCTGCTTTCTGATGACTTCAGATGTCAGAAAATTTCTTCAGAGTTATAATCAGTTTATGATGAATGTTTCTGAATGAAGTTACAGTGATTGCAGGAGAGAGATGACTCTTCAGTAATCTGCAATATAATCTGTTGATAATTATTTCATAGTTCATCTCAATGTTTGTGTTGAGTTTTTCATAAATTTTATGACCTGGAATCAGATGTGAAGAATGAAGTGATTATAACTGAAAGAGAGTATTCTATGTTGAATTGTAAACAATATAGACTTTGTGATTCACAGTGATTTCTTGAAGAGTTTGTGAATCTTCAATAGAAGTAAAAGAAGTGAAAGAAGTGAATTCAGAAGATATGATAATAATTTGAGAAAGATGACAATTTATTTTCAATAACTGATCACTGATGTGTGTAAGAAGAATTAATATAAGAGAAAATAATCTTGTTTCTTAACTTAGTTATAATTTTAGTACTAACTCAGATTGAATATCATTAATGTATAAAAGTAAATAAACAATCTTGATTAATCTCTGTCATATTTCTTGAAATATATTAATATTGTGAAAGAGAGTGTTACTAAATTGCATTACCAGATAATATCATTAAAAATATATTAATAATTATGAATATCAATGTTGAAAAAATGTTGATACTTATACATTATAGATATATATATATATATATATTATTCCTGACTTGATTACAACTTGTACAATAATTTTTAAAAACTCAAAATTAATTTCAATTATTAATAATTATGAACTTATAACTAACTAATATAAAAAGAAAAAAACTTTTTCTACTTATCATCTTTCTGCTCTTTCTCATTCTTCTTATCATTCTTCATAATTCACTTCTCATTCTTCTTCTTCTTCTTCTTCTCCTTCTTATTTGAGATGATAATCATCTCAAAATCTCTCTCTGCTGCCTTCTCAGAGAAGGGTTTCTGCTGCTCTCTCTTAGTCAGGTCAACCTGTGTCTCAAAATCCCACATTTCCTGGTTTGCTGCCTCAGGTTCCACCTCAGTGATAAGCAGATTGACATGCTCAGAGAGCAGAGCTGCCTTCTCAATATTCTGAATCATGAAGTGCATTCAAGATCTGAACAAGGTCTCAATTCCCTTCTTCTCTGTCAGCTTCTGCTAATCAATTAGAGAATAGAAGCATTATCAAAAATTACTATCTCTCAATAAATAAAAAACTTATCAGTTTTGACTTCTTTATCTTCTGCTTTAACACTCTCTCAATCTTCTTCTGCTACTGCTTATTTACAGTAACACTCTTCTTCTCTCTCTCTCTCTTCATCTTAGTCTCAAATCATTCTCAGAACTTCTTCTGATCTCACTGCTACTGTATAAGACTCTTCACTGTCTTCTTCTTCAATCTCTCATAGATAGTGTCATCTGCATTATTTCTATACTTAGTTCTGTCTAAATCTATCAGAAGTATTACTTAAAATTGTTATCATTCTACTCTTTTATAGAGTCTCTTCAAGGCATTATAACATGCCTTGTAATCTGTCTTCTCTTGCTTAAATGCCTTCTTCTTCTCTCCCTTCAATCTGTGACAGTACTCACGGGCCTTGATGGTTCACAGGACCGCAGAATATTTGAAGAGAGATGACATAATTGATTTCAGTGAGTATTGAAGAGAGGTGAAGGTAGAAGAGGCAGTCAGAAATGATATAATAATAATGATAATAATAATGATGATGATGATAATGATGATAATGATAGTGATAATGATGATAGTAATAATGATGATGATAATGATGAAAGAGAGAGTGTATTGAAATATATTACTGACTTATCAAATATAAAGAGACTTAAAGAAAATATTAACAGCTTTCAGTAATATACAGAAACAGCTGCAGTGTTACATAGCAACATCATCTTTATTCAATACATGCACTGTTGATATTCTTTATATACAGTTATTATATAATCTGTATCAGAGATACATGCAGAAAACAGATCTTTGTTACTAGGATAAATAATTACAGCAATTCTCTGTTTTTATATTATAAAGATAAGTTGTTCTCATTTCTTTCTTCTCTCTTTTCTCTTCTTTAATCAATTACTAATTTCAAGCTGATATGAAAACTATTAAAACACTCTCAGAAATCCTCAAATTGAAGAGTATAGACTAATCAAATTTCAAATGCAGAAGAAATCAAATTATCTTCTACAGATTCAATTACTTACTTTCTCTTAAATAAAACAGCAGTCACATCCCCTTCTCTCTCAATCAAACAAAACATGGCCCGTGAAAAGTGAGTATCACGCCAGGTCATAATGACCAACACAGCCTCAGTACACAGGGCTGTATATGTGCAGTGTGTACTGAACTGAGAGACTGTCTGAGTTGCAAATCAGCAGCAGCATTTCAGAGAGAGTCATGCAGTGTGAAAAAGCTGCAACTCTTGATTACATGCACAGAGAGTAAATCACTGCAGTAAGTGCATGTGTATTGAAGTAATACTTTTTAATAACACTCAGTCTCTGATATGATGAAAATAGAGTCTCTCTGTGAGATTTGTTTCTATCAGAAGTCAGAAAATCTTATATTTCTCAAGATCATCTTCACACATCTTGTCTGTGAAATTGATGAGAGAAATCATCAATTTCAGTGTTCTGTTCTTGATATCATTCAAGTGACAGCAGAGTTCACTCTGATCATACTTTTTAAGTGTATATTTTCTAATTATTCACATTTATATTGTGATTCAAAGGTTGCTTGAGTCAGTGTATGATTACAGGCGTACGCCGGCTTCTTATATATTGTACACTAAATTAATTAGCGGCTGCTATGACCTCTTTACACTTATAAGCAAGTTCAGAAGCAGCTGTGTTATTATTCAACAGTCATATGTTCTTCTGAACCACATTCTCTCTTACCAGATTCAGTCACACTCACATGATCATAACATCCGCCCTAGCTTCATGCGGATTAGTGTGCCACTAGTGTTCGTAATCATGTGATCTATTTCTGATGCAGCTAGCATTCTGTGTACATTCTTATAAAGAAACTTTCACTATATTATATCACTTCTTTACTAACTTTTCTCATTCTTTAATCATCTTCTTCATCATCATCATCATCAAACATCATTATCATTTCATCTCAGATTACTATCTCTTCTTCTGTTCACATCTTCTATCTGTTTATCTATCACATCATACATGTTCCTGGTGATGACCTCTCATTTTCACAACAAGTGTCATTGTAGTACTCATATCAGGCAGTTCATTAGCAGTAAGTGTAATGCATTGTAAAACATGACTGCACTTGTTTATCTTCTAATGATTGTCAGAATGTATTATCATGAATGACACATCTTCTTCATCTTCTTATACACTCTTGATTATTTTTCTTCTCAGTGACTTCTGATCATGTTTTCTGACACAATTTTGCATAAATGCAGATGCTGATATATTTGTTTTTATTCATATAGAATCTTCATGCATTGACAGATTCATATCTGCTGATAATAGTGAACTCAATATTGAATCATTGATTGAGAACTTAGAGAATGTGATAATGAAGAAATTGTCTGTGTCATGTGTAGTCAGGTCTTCTATGTCTCTCTCTGCTTTCTCTGTTTCTTTCTCTACTGCTTTCTCTCAATCTTCTACACCTGTCTCTGTGTCTGGTTCTCCCGCTCCTGCTACCTCTATTCCTGCATTTTCTACTTCCGCTACTTCTGCTCTCATCACTGCCTTTGTTACTAGCTCTCCCCATTTCAAGAAGATGTTGTATAGACTCAGTGAATCATGTTTCTCAGCATGTACACTTCTATTCTTCTTACTGATCTCTAGAATAATTTATTGTACAAAGATGATGTATAACATGACTATCTGAAGCTAGGTCACAGATGCTGATTATTATGTTTGTTTTTAATATTCATGATGAGACAATTATTCATTCATTTCAGAGAATTATTCTCTCTCTCAACAGTATTGAGATTGTAAGTCTTTTTCTTTTTATCTTTTCTTTCTGATACTGATTTTTCTATTCTTAGAGAAAATTATTATAGGTTTTATTATGCATGAAGTTATGATATTCACAGACATCAAGAAACTTTTTACAACTGTAAAGTTCAATATTATGAGAATATTCACTCTGATGAATTTCTTCAGAATGATAAATCTGTATCAGCCTATTCTTTAATGTCTGTTATCTGACTTTGTAATGCAGGCGAAAGATATCTGTGTTTTCAGAAATGAGAATGTGAATGTTGTACTCTTTTACACTCATGAGTGTGAGACTTGTACATCTTGTCTGAGATGTCATTGTAGAAATGAGCTGTTCACACACTGTGTTCTGCTTTCTGCATTTCTCTGTGTCTCTCTCTCTCTTTCTGAGAAGCCTCATACATGTTGTAATTGCATGTACAACTCTAAGGTCAGTGAGTGTTCATTCAGTAACTGTTTCCATCTCTGATTTTATGATTTTTATACACTAACAATGATTCTTAGTTGCTTCAGTGTCAGAGGTCATTCTAATTGAAGATGATAACACTGCTGAGACTATCCTCTTTCACTCTCAAGCTTCTTTCATCACTTTCTCTCCCTTCTCTGCAGGGAAGGTTGTGTGTACACTGAGTTATAAGCATTTGACTCTGAGTGACTTCTGCTGTCATTTGTCTGGTTCTGTGTCTCTCTCTTTCATTTCTTCTGTCTTCATCTCTTCTGCTCTGGCTTCTGATTCTGCAGGTCTCACACTCTTCTTCAATTTCTCTATGCGTATGCATACACATTTCTATATTGGCATTTCAGCCAATCTTGTAATAAATGACATTAATGTCATATACAGAGTGGTAGAGAAATCAGAGACATGTACAGTGTTATTATGAGAGTGACTTACAGCTCTTGAATTTCTTACAGATCTTGAGTTTTGAGATTTCCTTTATTTTTAATGTTTTTCAGATAGTGTGATGTGAGAAATAGATTAAATATGTGATATATGAAAATGAATGAAGTATGTATAATAACATTTGTCTTTTACAGCTGACTCTTACAGTTGATGATCAATTCATTATCTCTTTTCTTTTCTTACACTTTTTCTTTATCTGCTAGTCACTACTCTTACACAATCTCTATATAATACAGCATTTGATGACTAGGTTCAGCAGCTTTCATCTTTTGTGATTCTGTCTTATATATTATACTGTCTCTCTTCACCTGCTCAGATTACTACAGTGAACAGCTCATTGAAACTAATCTTGCTCAATCTCTGAGTATTCTCAGAGATTGAGATGACTTGATCTCACACATCTGCAGATGTTTCAGATAGTTTGTTCTCTGTAATCTCTGTAATTGAACTAATGTAAATAGTTGAATTCAACTCTGAATCTCTTTTTCTTCTGCAATCTGACTCATGTGTAAGTCTGCTACTTTAAGACTGCTCTTTACTGTGTTGTATCTGCTGTCTACAGCATGTTATTATATGACTGACTACAGTCTCATTACTTATTAAAGTGTGATGTTCACCTGATTTCTTCATTTCTTCTCATTCTTTTCTTATAATTGTGAAAAGATTGAAATAAGTGAGATTATCTAATTTGTAAGTATCTATGATTTCTCTTACTTTGTGAGACTTTTCAATTATAAGTCTCTTCTTTTTCAATACTGATAATAGTGCTGTGAATAATCATAATTCACTCAGATCTTACATCTTTGCTTTCATAAGTTGTGAATTATTTATTAAGTTGTGTAAGATCTGTCTCTCTGATTCCATCAATGTGTAAGTTTTCAGAGAATGTGATTTGAGTATTTTATATGGCTCAAATCATCTAGGTTGAAACTTCTCAGAACTCTCATTGTGTACAAGAACTCACATTTCCATCTTGAGACTTGATTTCTTGACTAGTGAGTCTTGTATTCTTTTCAATTGAATTGCTCAGTTCAGGAGTAACTCATTAGCTTTTGCATGTGTGTGGCTGATCTCTTTCAATCTTAGTTCCACATCTGTGACTGTTATGTCTGCAACTGCTACTACTGCATCTGTAACTGCTGTTTCTGCTGCATTCATGACTGTTGTGTCTGCAACTGCTGTTCTCTCTCTTATTCTTTTCAAAGCATTC